TGGACGACAATCGATGTTCGGGTTCCAAGCACAGAGAAACAAGTATTGGACATAATCGAATCAGGGCCTTCCAGGGGCACTCAGAGCACAATAACTGACACTTTCCCAGGCATCAAATATATACCGGCTACATTCCTACCACGTTTGTACGATACACACAGCACAAGGAGATACAAATGGAGCAGGATTTAATTACCTGAATACGAGAAGCTTCTTGATAAGAGTGGATAATAATGAGATTACACAGGAACCAGCTTGTTTGGAGTTAACCATTCGAATGTTTGGTGTTGTTGCGATTTTTTGTAAACCCCAAACCCCGCAGAATTCGAGGTTATGAGAACAGGTTGACATTTCGAAAGTATGTTCCGCAGTCAACGAATCTTGTAGAATTTAGCGTTTATCCTTGTCTATCTTATTGTCACTCTGTATAATTCCATGGTATCGGAGTTTTAAGTACTACGAAGCAACAGGTATTTGCGCAATGTTAATCAGGTAGATAACCTTGAAAAATATTGCTGCCGTATTTCTGATATAATTTTTTGAAAATTTCTCAGTTTTTATAAACAATTAATTTCTATTACTATTTTTTATGTACTCCTATAACAGCGCCAGACAACAACTCCAGAGGAATGACGCCAATTTTAAATCACCCTGTATTTACTGATTCCGAATACGCTGGTGCTCGGGGAGTGGCTCGGAAATTCAGAGAGACCAGTGAGTCGTTATTCTAAAAAGTTTCAGGGAAGGAATCGATCAAATAGAAAACCTTTCATTGCCTTTGACTGTCGTTTGAGAGATACTAGATCATTTAATACATTTTTTATGTTTTCGTCAACGATTCAATGAAAACATCCGTTTAGTACATGGCCCCCTGTCTAAAAGACTTCACATATTTTATGAGGAATTAGTGACAATCAGCCCTGTGCTGTATCACTCACGTTAACTTTAACGTGAGTGATACAAGTGATTCAACTCCATTTATTATTTAATGTGAATTAAACTTATTTCAAATGTGTATTGCTCTAAGCTTTTAAAATTAATAAATACCCATTGCAATGAGAAATTCATGTGCTTTATTTTCCCAATTAGTCCTATTTTTTACACGAACAAAATTTCGGCAGGCGATTTGAATTCACTTTATGACCTCCGCGATCTCTGTTAAGTTCAATAATATTTCAAGCATCTCACAATGCTTTTTCACAAACCTTAGCATAAACATCCTAATTAAAGCGCGAAACTTTAGCGGAATTAACTCAACTCATTGCAGAGGTTATATACTGCAATCAAATCTCCCGCAAAATTTTGATGTGAACACAATCGGTAAAGAAGGTTTCCTCTGGAAGCAGTGGAAATTCGACCCTACTTTTGAAATCAGCCGCTAGGAATAAGCGACAAATAGCACTCTACAGGTTTAGTAGTAGTTGCCAATCTATAATCTCCGTGATCTGTGCACAAACCTGCAACCAAACGTGATTGATTGAGCCCAGCGGCGCTGGTGGACTGACTATGTCTCTTATCTTACTGTAATGTAATATGTCATATCTGTCAAATCTCAATTATTTATTTTGTATATGCTATTTGTCAATATCAATTTTGAAATAGTTTACTACAGTTTAATACTGAAACCTACGTTCTTTTGTTTTCAGCATTCGAGATCGAAGAAGATTCCAAGAAGTCCAGTACTTGCTGAGAACTCTTACTATGAAGTGGGTGATTTGATGACACACTTGTTTTGATTATATAATCTGATTAATGATGTATAATGGTTGAATAAATGGGGTTGGGGGGATGTTGTACCTCAATATTTCAATTCTTAAGTGTCGCTCGCCTGAATTCAGTGTGTACTGAATAGTGGCAGTTGTTTTCAGTCCAATCCGAATATATTCGTCAAGTTCATTGCAACTGAAGATATTTTTGCCATAGCGCCAAATGTTGGGATCATATTAACAGGAGTTAATTTCCTGTCCCTTGTCATGATCTTGGATCTGTGTAATTTAACAGCCAGTGAGTACCGATATGCGAATATATATTATCTTCATTCGGGTTCAGACAGCTGAAGAAATATGTAGGTGCGATATCTACTCAACCAATGACCTATCTATGACTATGACTATCCGCAGAAGTTTATTTTCTGTGGCCTGAAGCTGTTTCAGGTAGGTTTCTGCCGCATACCCCCACACTGGGGGCATACGTCGTTGCCGGCCTGATGACACTCTTGATGAGCAGAAGTTTGTTCCTCACACTCATTTGGCTTCTTCAGTTCAGGAGTGGGTACAGCATTGCTGTTGTAGCCTTCGCCCTGTTGATCGCTGTCGTCACATGTTGCATCCAGGTCAGCTTCGTGTATAAAACAACACCCAAATACATTGACATTACTTGCCCATTGAACCTCTTCTCTGTCAAGATTGATGTTTCCAAAAATCATGTCACGTTTCTTTTTAATAAGAATGGCCTGGCTCTTTGCTGCGTTAACCTTCGCTTTCCATTTGATGAACCACTTCAGTTCATCACAGCAGTTCATATGCAACATTAGAGCTGTGTCGTCCGCAAAGAGAGCCAAGGTCGTATTCGCGGTCTTTGGGATGTCACTGTTAAATTGTACAATATAGCATTGGGGAGAGTATCGCTCCTTGCGGCACTCCAGCTTCTGTGCTTTTGCCCTCTGGCCTGCAGTTCCAACTTTGACGCGGAATGTCCTTCTGTAAATGTCACTGTCGATTAACTGGCATATTTTTTCACTAATACCTGTTTTCATCATTTTATAGATGAGTTCCTTTCTCCACACTCTGTCGAAAGCTATTTCAACATCTAGAGCGAGAATGCCGGTTGTTCCCTTCTGATTCATTTCTTTGGCGCACCCTTCTATAATCCTGAGTAGTTGAAGTTCAGTGGAGTGTTTACCACGAAACCTCTTTCCGCTTTCTTGCCAAGGCTGGACAACAGGCTGAAGGGCCTGTAGTTCTGAGGGAAAGTCCTGTTCTTGGGCTGCGGGAGCATAATGTCGTCTGTTTCCAGATGCGTGGAAAGTCGGGTCTTGAAAATGGCATTAATGAGATTTGCGACAGCTAATCGTCTTTTTCTCAGCAGCTTAACTCTTTCATGCACAGGATTTTACCATTTGTTTTTGTTAAAGTAAGTAGCAG